GAAAACCTTTGAAACAGTCAGAACGAGGAGCCGAGCACAGCTTTTACCAGACACTTCTTGGAGTCCAATCGTACTGTTTACCTAAGACAGTTAAAAGGGTATCAGCAGCGTGAAATGCAGTCACAGCTTCAAAGTCACACAGTCTCGAGTCCTAAACATGCCACAGCAACCTCATTTTAGGCAAACACAGGTTCTATTTTTGTTAAGTGTTTCTCTTCCTCTGCTGTGCAAGAGGCTCATACAAGGAAGAAGGAACCTTTAAATAAAACAACAAAAACCCCCAAACAAACAAAAAACCATTTACACTCAAGATACCATGAGAACATTAAAGAACTACCTCTCTGTCCTTTCTGCTGCAGTAACCACAGTAGCTGCTTCTACCAAAAGAAGCCTTATTTCATCATCATCTTCCCCTTTTGTAAATGATCTGCACCCTAAGACACCCAGTCCTTTTATTTCCAGTCACCAGGCAGGCAGGAGCCATCCCCACAGCAGTCACTGGCATCATCTTTGGGGCTCAGAACTGCCAGGGATCGTTATGGTGACCTGGACCATGGGGCTGACTCGAGGTTGCCATCCCCTCCTCTGTGCTGTTCAGGCACAGCCAAGACCATCACTCGGAACTGTTTAACATTCAGGTAACTGCAATAAAGGCTGAGTCTTAATGAAGGTAAATTAACGTAGAGTTGAGAAAGCACCCAGTCCTGCCACACAGTCCAGCAAGGCCTCCAACAAGACACAGACACACCTCTTAGTATCCCAAATATTTGCTTGGGGGAAATTGTGACCAAAATACCACCCTCCACCTCCTGGAAGGGATGTTTCAATGGCAGCCTGGAGCTTTTCCTGTTTCTCTACATTTTTTTACATTTTTAAATGCAGGAGACTCACTGGGCACCACCAGCAGTAAAACACCTGCAGCTCTGCCTGACACCTCTCCATCTGTGTTCTCCAGTGGTGGAGGACTTCAAAGCTCCAGAGGACAGCCAGTGCTTCTTGAGGAACCTCATCAAAAGCATCTTGCTGACCATTACTACTTCAAGTGCTTTGCGCCCATTAGCAAGAAGGGACTGAGAAAAAGATTGCTGGAGGGATCAAAACCAGAGTCCTGATACCCAGCTCCTGCCTGAAGTAACCAGACAACTGCACAGCCCAGTGGCCACTCAGACTAGAGGATGGAAATCTCCACCCCTAAGAGTGGAGTATCACTCCAGAGACCCAAAAGGATGCTATGAGGCTGAAGGAGTTGCTGGTTAGACACTTCCAGTCTCACTGCCAACAGCGGGACCTTGCAAGGGGCTTCTGGCAACCAGGTCTGCAGCCTGGGCACAGCTGGGTGGTTTCAAGAAAAGTCAGTTATGCTGTGAGGTTGACCCCAGCCCTCCTCCTCCTCCTCCATGTGCTCCGAGCAATTCTCCGGGTGCTTCCAGAGCTTGGCTCCGTTGCTCAAGCATCTGCAGTTCCAGGTGAAACCGCTGCAAGCCTGCTGTGAAGGCAGCTTTTCACACAGGGCTGCGCTGGCAGCTGACCCACCACCTGGGGAATTTCCAGGATCTCATGCAAATCTCCAAGACTTCCACACCCCTCAAAATAAAGAGGAAACAGCGGAGAGGCTGGTTAAAATAAGGCAACCAAGGAAAAAATCTGTGGCAGCTCCTTCAGACAGGCACTGCTATTCACCAAGTTTCTGAAATAGCAGAGGGGCAGGCAGTGCTGGCTGCCCTCCCCGGGGCCAGGTGTCCCACGCCAGCACGCAGCACACGTCCTGCTCCACCGCGGGAAAAGGGCACGGGCTGGCAGCAACGCCTGGCACACCACCTGCTCTCCCCTCTGCCAGCCACAAAGTACTGCCAGAAAAACCAGCCTGCCAGCCTTCCTCCAGCACCAACCTGTCGTGGGGCAGCACGTGCTTCTTGTCCACCATCCTCACTCCTTGGCCAATAACACAGCCATCCCAACTGGCTCATTCTGCCACAGTGCCTCTTCCTCCAGCTGTGCTGCAGGCCCAATGCCATGCCCAGAGGACCTCATCCTGAGGAACAGGAGCTCAGAACATAAACCTGCCTACACCTTCACATGTGGCTCTGCTTAGGCTTGGACTTTCCCAGACTACAAATCCTGGCCAACATGCGCAGTCCTCTGCCCCGGTGTTCTGTGCTCCAGAAGGCAGCAACATCAGGAGAGATAAAAAGATGTTACAAAACAAAGACCAACCAGCCCGGTTTGTCCAGTACCAGAGCACAGGCCTCCAAAATGACCACCCTGCCGGGAGGTGCCAATCCACTCTGAATGACCCCTCTGCTCTGCAGCTGCCCACAGCAGGCACCCCCATTTAAAATTTAAGGATTCAACAATGCTCTGGGGATTTAAGACATGTCACGATTTTTCATAATTAACCCCCACTTACAGTCCCTGCATGTGAACTACGCATCAGCCCGTTTCATCCTCCAGCTGAGGCAAACACTTGGTGTCTTGCCCAAAGTCAGCGTCAGAGCTGAAACGGATCTTCTGACTTCCAAACAAGCTCACGGTGTTAAGCTGCTTTTAACTGTCTCTATGGAAGATGAAAAACAGCAAGAAGAAAGGAATCGGGGAAGGAAGTATGTAAGACTAAAGGAGACAAAATTAACAGGAGAAAATTAAAGAGGAGAAATTTAGGCTCTGACACCTGAAACAGATGTGGAGGAGCACACGCCTGGGTGCTGCAGACCTGATTCCCAGATGAAAGGCCAGAGCATTTGTTCCTCAAAGCTGGACGCAAGAGCACTGACTGCAGGGCCCTGGGGACACAGTGAGCTCTGCCAGCCCCTGGGATCCACTGGGTGCCTTCACCTCCAGTACCTGGGCCCAACGCTGCCCCTGGCACCTGCTGTCCCTCGTCCCCAGCACCTTTGGGGAGCAATGCCCCGCTCCTGGCCCCACTGTTCCACGTAGCTGCATGTGAATGATGGTGGGTGTGTGACTTGCGCTGTGCTGGGGGCCGAGGTGCCTCGCTTCGACACCAACAAAGCAGAAGGTTAATTTGAACCGCTGCGCGCTTGTGTCTCCTCCTCGCCCTCCCTCCCCGCTCTCCTTTCTGTGCAAAGCCTGACATCTACAGTTCTGTCTGGCACAGTCAGGGGCTGTGATGGGAACCACGCAAGGACGCCGGGACGCGGTGGCCAGCCAGAGGGGACGTGGTGGCCATCGGCCCTCTGCTTCCTGGGCTTTGCTCGCTCACATACCAGCAGCACAAAGCCACCTCAGCCCAGCCAGGGGACATGCACTGGGAGCAAAGACCACCCGGTGGTACCACTCCAGCGGCCATGGGCACACTGCTACTGCTCATCCGAGACCAGCTGCTGTGCTGGCACTGACACCCAGTGCTGTCCAACAGCGCACACCCACAGAACTATGGCCTGGTAGCATTGCCTCTGCAGCCATCCTGTGGGAACCTCCTACACCCCGACACAGCTGGGGCAGCCCCTGCTCTGCTTCTCAGGTATCCAAGGGTCTGGGCACAAGCCTCTGTAACACCAGAGATACAGGTAAAACACACAAGCTGCTGTGCACAGCTTGCATCCGGAACACCTCCACGCCGCAGGAGCAGTGCTGCTTTGCAGACTCTGCAGCTCTCAAACCTGTGCCTCAGACACCAAGTAGCTCCATGCACTCCCCCTGCTCAGTCTTCTGAACCAAGCTCCAGGCCTGCCAGCACACTTTCCCACCACATCATACCTCAGCAAATCCACCTTGGGGGAGAACCCCCAAATACTGCATCATCCCAAACAACACACATCTGACTGCACCTCTCAGCCCAAACAACCTCCACCTGACTGCAGCTCAGCCAGCTATGCCTTCACAACCTCCTCGACTCCATTATAACAAGACCAAAACCCTCAGAGCCTGTTTCTAGACGTCACAGCCGCTCAGGAAACCCAGCACCCAACCCAGCAGGATCAAGCACATCATTGCCATGTTACTATCAGCGTTTCTGTACGTGCACTGAATTCTACGGCGAGCACCACGGTGTTTGCACAAGGCAGCTGGCGGCAGCATGGCAAAAGCAAGGTTAAACCCCCTGCGACCCAACTAGGCCAGCCAGCTGTTTTGGAGCCAGGCCACCACTAGCCAGGGAATTGCAGCTGGAAGTACGAAGTAAACACAAGGTGGGATGCAGGATGCTCTGCTGCCTGGACCTGAAGGCTTGGGAGCAGCTCCCAGAGCACGCCTGCTCCCATCCTCCCCAAGTAGGGACTGATGCTCCAGCAGGTATGCTTGGGCCATGAAAATAAACACTTACTGTGACCTAATGTGTTGGAGGCCCCGCAGGCTGCTCTTTCCCAGATACCAGGGAGGGGGGAGGACAGGAGAAAACCTTTTACCAGAGCTGCCATGCACATCATCTGCTCCAGCATCCCCATCAAGCAGAGGAACTCGCATGGCTCAGCCCTCACCCGGTTTAATACCTGAAAGCCTGGTTACCACAGGGCCATCACCCTCCTGCTCCACAGCAACATGCACCACACAATTTGCAACACTGCAAAATGTTTGTTTTCCAGAGGGAAAATAGAAAAATACTGCTGCTCCTCTTGGCCTTTTCTTAGCGAGAGGCATGTTTGGCACTTGTGACATAATGAAATTACAATCAACAGCCAAGTGTCTTTCTCCCAGCAGCAAACTCAAGGGCAAAGCCAGGTGGCCACGGCCTGCCAGCAGCACCCACCATCATCCCGCAGTCCCTCCACCTCAGCAGTGCCTGGGACACGCTGGGAGCGACCGCTGGCTGCGGCCTGTACAGAGCTCCCTTCCTGACATCCCCAACTCAAAAATAATTCCAGGTGGGAGTGAACGTGGACTGTGCTCATGGTCAGTTCTGACACACACTGTGCACACCTGGTGCACGTACCCCCGCGCACAGCCAGCGTTGCTGCGGCGATGACCATCCACCTCCTGCACCGACAGATGGACACATCTGTCCAGCGCAGCTGACAGGGAATCACTGGGAAGTGCTGGCTCTTTGCTGGTGCAATGGGACCTGAGCAAGACCTGCAGCATCTCCAAGGGAAAGGAGGAACGCCAAGGCGGGCAGCCAGGACAGCCAGGGCTATTAGGATCCTGGACCCAGCGGCAGGACCGCGGCTTGCAGTGAGGGAAGCCCGACTCATCCACCCTTTTGTTGTTTTCTTTTCTTTTTTTTTTCTTTTTTTAAACTAGCTGGAATTTATCTATTTTTCCAATCCCTGCCTACACACAAACCCAACCTCGGGAGCAAACAAAAATGCCTGAATCGCAGATCAGAGACAAAGCAGGAGGCGGGCGGGCGGCCTGCTCCCGCTGCCCTCACCTCACCCCTCGGCGCGAGGCGGTTATATTTAGGTACCGCCACGGTCTGCGGTGCCGCGGCCCCCTCGGGCACGGCGCAGAATGCAGATTTTCCAGACAACAGACCACAACAGCTCCGTCAAAACCATTAGAGGCTGCGGCGCCCAGGCCTGCGCACAGATGTTTTGATTCCCACTCTCCTGCCACGACAGCCCTCGACAGCCCCATCACCGCCGCCATGCGCTGGACACCCGGCCTGAATTTCAGCTGGTGAGGAAGGAGGGAGGAGGGAAGGGCAGCCCCGCTCGCCAGGGAGGAGCTCTTCTCTCCAGTCCTCCCCTGCCCTGCACTGCCCCAGGGATAGTGGAGCCAGCCCCCCTGGAGCTCCCAGAGGGTATGGGGGACGACCCACCATGAGGAATCAGAAGCAGTGCAAGGGGGACAGCCCCCAGAGGCACCTGCTGCAGCCCTGGGGGCCTCTCCCAGGCCAAAGCCCCTGAGGTCATCAGTTGCAAGAGCCGCGAGCGGCACAGGGATCCAGCATGCGGCCAGGTCAGGGGGACCTGGCGGGCCCCAGCTTTGTTCACAGTACATCTCTCCCGCTGGCTGGCCGTGCCCACTGGCACGCAGCCCCTGAAGCCACACAAAGGCCAAACCTTGGCTGCGCTCTGGTGAAGGGACACAAGAGCCATGAAACACTCGGCCTCTCCCCAGCCCATCCGTCCCAAACCGATCTCCTCTGCAGTGTGAACACACCTCCAGCCCTGGCACCATGGCAAGGCCAGCATGCACTGCCGGCAGCATCCACAGAAGATGGTTGCCGAAAACTCTCCTACCACACACAAGCAAGTGACACCAACAGGGAAATGATCCCACAAGAGATTGAGCCCCCACAGAACACAACACATCATGTGAATAAAGTCGATTTAAAAGCCCACTAGTCCTTTTTCTACTTCTCCACACAACATCTTTTTTTTTATTATTATTATTGCTATTACTGTTATTTTGGAAAGCAGAAGGAGGTGTTAACAAGGAGGCTGACACAACCAGCTGTGTGTCCATCAGTTTGAGATTCAGCGATCCCCACTGAAGCCGTTCAACTGCTGGCCAGGCCCAAAGGAAATGTGCTGCCCCGGGCTGCTCCCGGCCTTCAGTACAACACCGACAGCAACTGGGGTGGAGGGGTCAAAGCGGAGAGATAAAAGAGGGACGCAAGCCTTCGCTTTTGTCAGAGCGGCCACCACCGGGCCCTGGTGTGACAGCGGCCACGACAAGGCCAGGCGATGGTGCCGGGCACGCGGAGCTGCCCGCGCTGCCTCGGCCCACCGAGCAGAACCTTGGCTCGGTCCTGCGGGAACAAAAGGCAGCGTCAGGGTGGGAGGAAGGGTCCAGGGGCTCCACGGCCGAGGGCCAGCGCTGCTGCAGCCGGCACTGCTGCGCGGGAGAGGGGCTGGAGCCAACTTCCTGCTGCCCTCTGCTCCCAAAATGACTGTGTTAAAAAAAAAGAGTGGGGGGAAAAAATACAAATACAGCAAAGCAACTTCTCCGGCCAGACAGAGAGCTTCTCTCCCCTCTAATGTGCCTTTTCTTTGCTTTTGTTCCAGTCAAGGCTGCCTGCGGAGGGGGACCGGGCGGGAGGCAGCTCGGGCAGCCGTGCAGGGAAAAAGCCTTCAGCTGTCGGCAGAGCAGGAGCCTGGTGAGCCCTGGGCCTGGCCACGGGGCTGTTGCTGCACAGCGGCGGGGAGCCCAGCACGATCCTGCTGCCAGGGGCCTGGGACGCCCCGCTCGGCAGCCGCCCCCCTCCCGGCTGCTCCCCGGCCTCCGCCACTGCAGCAGCCGAAAAGCCACACTCCGTTTTTGCTCAGCGCCGGACCAGACAGTGCTCCCTAATGAGGGAGCATTACAATCAGCTTGTAATGCTGAATTTTTAATGCTGCCGAGGGCTCTGTTACATAATAAAGGGGGAAACGGGAGCAGAGGGCAGCCGGCAGGGCTGCCCGCTCCCCCCGGCCACGCAGGTGGCGGCCCTGGCCCACCGGCCGCCCCTCGCGCCCCCTGACCCGCTGCTTACCGCCAGCGCCGCGGGACGGGGCGCGCACGACGCCCATCGGAGCTCCTGCCCTGCCGGGAGGGTTGCACAAACTTTCCTCAAGTGCGTGGAGGGGTGATGCCAAAACGCTGGCTCCGTGCTCCGCCGCGGCTCGGCCGGGAAATGATTTAAAAGCAAAGTTCACGAGCATGTTAACGGCATGCTCTCGTATGTCCCCGCACACACGGGCTGCGCTGCGCCGCTCAGTAATACCCTAAGACTGTAAATCTATAACCACTGCAATGATTTAGTGATTAAAAACATGATAACATATTGTGTAACTGCAAACCACAGAATCCCTGCCAACTCTCCTCCGAGATACAGGAACAAAAATACAGAAAATGTGTTGCTCGCAGCGGTCTTCCTAAACTTGATGGAAAAGATTTTAATAATAATAATAATAATGCAAAAAAACCCCAACAGCCCAGACATCAGAAAAAGGCTGGATACAACGCAAGGCTGAAAAAAAAAATTTAAAAGACAGAATTTTAAATACGAATCTTGCTCTAACAAATTACAATCTAAACATGCCTCGCTTTTTTCTCTTTTTTAAGTTTGTCGTAACTGGAATAACTGGTCTTGTGTGATGTCTTGCATATTCAAAGTGCTTTGTAATAGGATACGGAGACCAAACCTTATTTGCCTAAACTCAATGGGTTTTATTTTTTCCCCTCTCCCCCCCCCCCCATTTCTTTTCTTTTTTTTTTTTCTCCTCCCCCCCCTTCTCCCCTAATGGGGGTGTGGGGGGGGGGGGGGCAAAAGGAAGCAAGGGCTTTAGGCTGTAAGGAAAATACCTGAAAGAGGAAGCTGCAATCCGTAATACGGTGAGGAAAGCCAAATATACATATATTTTTAAAGGCAGCTATGGGAGTTTTGGCCTCTAAGCAACCAACTTGACCCCATTCTCTCTATTCTCTTATTTCCCCCGTTCCAGGATTCCTGCACCTTCAGTCGGATTCGAACTCAATGTGACCCTAAGGAGGGAGTCACCGAGCCTCCAGAAAATTGCTCCATATTAAACAGGAGCGAGAAAAGGAGAAAGACAGCAGGCACGGAGGGGACTCCGCGTTACAGAGTCCAGGACACACGGAGAGCAGCCCCGAGCACAGCGGGAGGGAGAAACAGACCTTGCTAGAAATCAATTTTTTTTTTTTTTGTTTGGTTGATTTTTTAGAAAAGGTGGGGAGAATTTAACAATTAAAAAAAACCAAACCACCACAGACACAAACAAACGCAACCCAAATTATAAATAATTCACAGTATGAATCCCGCGTGTGCGTGGCACCCCCGCAAGCCTTGCACAGCCAGGGCACACACACACGCTCCCCGCGGAGGGTGCGTGCGGGAGCGGGAGCCCGGGCGCGGCGGGTCCCGGGGACCGGCGGGGACCGACAGAGACCCGCGTTTCACGTAACTGCGATAAGCGCCGGGCGTTGCAGCCCCGAGTCATTAACCCTGGCCCCGAGCGGGCTCGGCCTGCGGTGCCGCCCGCCCCCGCCGCGCTCCCGCACCGAGCCGCCCGCGGGGAACAAGAACCGCCGTTACTGTGCGTGGCCAGGCCGTGCGGGCCGCGGGGTGCGGGGCTCCGCGGGGCCGGGCCCGTCGCCGCCGGGGCAGTTTTCGGCACTTTCTTCGCCCCTTTGTTTTCCAACGCGTCCCCGGCGCGGAGCGGCAGCGGGGACCGAGGG